CCCCATAGCCCCTCTCAACTCCACCTTTCAGAAACTCCGTGGTTAAGGACATGGGGATTCCTCAGTCGCAGCTCCTAATCTAGGCTCTAATCTCACCCTGGGAGGAGCAAGATGCTGTGTTCTTCATGGCCCTGACCCTGTGTTACAGAAGTTCTATCCCAGGAGGCACAGCAAGATGACTGAGGCTCTCTTCCCCTCCTGGGTCCTGACTCTCACCAAGGAAGCTCTACTACAGATGCCACAGGTTTCAAATACTGGAGTCTTGGTTGCCCCGTCACTCCTAGAGCAGAGGTTCCACACTGGGAAGAGCAACCCAAGAATACCAGGGGCTACTTCCTCCCATGTCCATCCACAGAGCAGAAGAGTCACTCCAGGGATGCAGGTAACTGTCCCTACTCCTGTGCAGTGCTGCAAAAGGTTTGCTCAGGGATAAAGAAGACGGTGAGAATAAAGAGCTTGGACCTCTGACTGAGGGGAATGACTTTATTTAGAAGAGGATGTAGAAGCAAGCACAAAGCCCTGAGTTCAAACCCCAGTCCCACCAAACACAAATAAGTAAAATAAAAGAGGATGTGGAGATTTCCAGGCATCAGCGTATTATCAAAGGCAATGCATTTCTTGATGGAAAGCAATGGGAAGGCTGCTCACAACTCCATGGTTCAGATGGCAATAAGCAAAAGGCAGGACGTCTAGACATTTAATAGAGAACCAAGACTCAGGCAGCCAAGAAGAGTCCTCCTGGGATTAGCCAACTCTGGGGATTGGGAAGGCCATGCACAAGGGGTAGGCTGCACCTATTGGGAAGCAATCAGGGCAGGTGTGTGCGTATGCCTGAAAGCATTCCTCATCTACATGTAGATCTGTCAACAAAGGGTTCATGGGACTTAAGCACACCCTCTGACCAAACATGGGATCAGGAGCAACTCTTAGAAAGCAACATGTAAAATAAAACTCCACACATCCTTGATGTATGTCATAAACTATTATATGTTCAAGGTCATGTCTTTGTAGGTGCCATTAGAGAAAAGATGCCCAAGCTACTGGTCCATGCTGAATATAGGGACAAATATAAACTCCTTGATGTGTGATAGAAGACCCCAATCCTTCCTGTTCACCACCCTGCACTCCTGCAATGGTAAAAAGTAAGTATCTAGTTGGTCCCAGAGGGTTAATCACAATATTTGACCTACAAATGACTTCTGAAGGTCCAGAGGAAACTCCTAGGCAACCATGATAAAAGATTAAAAACAAGGAAAAAAGTCTGAGCAGGACAGGAAAGCTGAATAGAATGGAAAAAATGGATTGATTTCACAGAATTAGTTAGCCAAGTCAGTAACAAACGAATAAACAAACAATAAGAAACCAGGTAGGGAAGAATGGAGAACAAGTTTCCAGAGTTGCTACATACATTATACAAAGTGTCTAATTGTTCCCAATTTTTTTCAGCTATGGAAGAGACAACAAAGTGTGGTACGTGTAATGAACAGAGCCCGAGACACAGCTTTTGATGAGGCCAGAAGTTGGACACAGTTGACAAACACTTCACAGCAACTAGTATAAATATGTCAACAAAACTTAATGAAACCTGTTTAAAGAATTAAAGGAAAGTATGGGGACATCTCACCAAATAGAGACTAGAAATAAAGAGATAGATGTTACTCAAGAAAAGGACATGTTATATGCTATTATATTGTTCCATTTACATGAAGTGTCCAGAGCTTATAAAGTCAGAAAGTAGATTGGTGTTTACAGGGACAAGAACTGGGAGGTGGAGAGTGACTGCTAAAGGAATCTAGTTTGGGTTTCTTTTGGGAGTGATGAAAATGTTGTGAATTTAAATTGTAGTGATTATGGTAAACTTAGATTACAAATACACTAAAAACCACTTAACTGTAAACTTTAAATTGGGGAATTTCATGGTGTATGAATTTTATCTCAGTTAAAAGAAAACCTAAAACCAACCAACCAACCAACCAGCCATACAAATACCAAAAACTCCTATCAACCTGGAGTTGATATGAGACAGGGACAGAGGACCTGAGGGCCCAGTTCCTCATGATTATGGGCCTTTTGTCTAAGCTCTGGAATTGGTAGCTGTACCCACCTAGGCTCGAGGTGTAGAGACTGGAGTAGAGAAAGGAGCCTTGGCCTGCACTGCCTGGCCCCAGATAAAGTCAAGGTAGGTAGTATTTCCTCTGTGCTTCCTTGTCATGGGATCCGACAGCAATACGAACGGGCTACCCTCACCATGAGTGGTGATTTGCAGTCTGATGAACATCTTCCATGTCTTATTCACACTTGATATAGGAACCTGAACCAGAGATGCTAAGGGTCTTGGCCAAGGTCAATCGTAAGCGTGTTAGTGGCCAACTAAGTGATCCCGAACCGCTTTCTATTCTTAGTCATTCTGTTCCACATCAACAAAGGGTCACCTCTGGTTTTTACTGAGAGAGGGAGGTGGGTCATGACAAGGTCAGCCCTTCTGGTTTCTGATTCTGAGCAGAGATTCAGGTCATTACTGTTACCTGCTTTACAGGGATTTCGGTGGATAAGGATGTGAGTGTAAGCTCTAAGGCTGTGAATCAAATGGAGACACGTGGAGCTCACCCACTCACGAGGAAGGTGCTAGTTTCTTACCTGGTCACAGACAGGGTGCTGCTTCTGGTCTGTTTAATAATTAATGATTTTATTCCAGCTTTTCTAACCTTGGTAATGGTGTTTGAGAGCTTCATTCTGCCAATCTAGCTAAGATATCATTGCTCTCTAACAGTGAACACCTTGCAGACTCCCTAACAGACCACAGTCACCAGAAAGCACACCTCACCTCTAACACACATCCAACACAGTGCTCAATCCGTTGGCTTTATGCAGGTGTTTATTACACGACTCCAACAGCTCTGACATCACATCTTCTCATTTACTTCTCACTGCCTGCTCATGAGCTCTACTGCCTCAGGGTCCCAGGATGGGGCTGCTCTGATGGCCGAGGTCTATCATACCTGTGCTGTGGAATGCCTGTGGCCATCCCATTCACATGTATCCACCAGCAAGACCCTTGATTCCTCCACACTGAGGCTTTTTCTGTGTTCAGAGCCCTCCTGGGACCTTGTCTCATCAGGGATGGAGCATGATCCCGACCTACCTACACCCATATTCCATGTTATTCACTCTCTCCTGACTCTGGTGTCAGATTCTGAGGTCCCTACTCATGGCAGTCAAAGAAACAGTTCAAGTGCTCCTACTGTCAAGGCTTTGGGGTATGTCAGCCATTTGCTGTTGGACCTGAGAGAAGAATTGGGCATTGCGGTAAGAGCCCTGCTTATTTGGAACACCTGCTGTGTTGGCTTCTGACTGGCCCATTTCCATGTATGTGCAAAACAACGACAACAACAGCAACAAAAGTCTTCATAGGAGATGCTGAAAATTGTGCAGCCACGAACATCTTCCTTCCTCCTTTCTTTCCTTTTTTTTTTTTTCTCTCTTTCTTTCTCAGCAGTACTGGAGTTTGAACTCCAGGTTTCATACTTGCTAGGGGTGCTCTATCACTTATGCCACACCCTCAGCCCTTTTTGCTTTTAGTTTATTTTTCAGATAGGGTCTTGTTTTTTGCCTGGGTCTTGTCTTGAACTATGATTCTTGATCTCTGCATCCTGAGTAGCTGGGATTACAGGCATGGAGCACTCCACCCCTGCTGAACATGTTTCTGAACTAGACTGTAAAGTGTGTGCTCTTAGGCTCATTCCTAAGAGCCCTGGTGTTTGTCTCTCACACTGGGAAGCCAGAGGACACTTCATTCTTCCCAGTTCTTGTGCACTGGGTTTGCCTAGGAGGAGTAAAGTGCCTGCTCGTCACAGATCTAGTGTACTTGTTAGAAGTCAAATCCACATTGACAATCCTTTACTTAGAAACATCTGATTCAAATGTCTGATTCCAATTCTGGGTTAACTGCTGTAGCTGAGGCAGATAACTTGCCTATCGCTCCCTATCCTCCTATCTTTTCTTCTTCCCTCCTCTTCCTACCCTCCCTCTCATTTTGCATGTATTTACTACCCATTCCACTAGCTAGCACCTAAGCGTGGCAGAGCCACTTGTCTGTGCTATGTGACTCCCCAGGATACTGCCCTGGTTCTGATCTCCAGCCAGCCTTGCATGCTGTGTGCCCAGGCAGTCACTGCTGAAGAGTGTTGAAAGCTCTGTCTAAAGACTGTCATAGCGTTTTAAATTTTGTCATCTCTGTGGAATTTTGGAGCAGCTCATGAGTGTGTGTGTGCAGGTGTGTGTGTACATTTGTGTGCGGGGGTAGGGGGGAATGCAAGCAGGCTTCTATGATGGTTCTAGACAGAGTGCTGCTCTAGATTGGCTTTCCCAGCACTGAGCACAGAGGGACAGTGTTTCTCTGAGCAGCTCCAGCTCCGTAAGTGACTCCTGCTGCTCAGTCCACGTCCAGAGCATACTGCGAACGCAGCTCCTAGCTGAGGGGTTGCAGCTTCCCCTCTCCTCCTTCCCAGCCTGAGCAATCTTGCTCAGGACTCACAGCCACCTCCATTCAATACCTGCCTTGTTGACGCTCAAGTTGCCAAGGCATCCCTGGGCCTCGGGTGCTGGAAGGTTACATCAGAGGGAAATGGATTAGGGGGCCCTTGCCGAAGGATGGGCCCTGGGTCAGGAGCAAGGGAAGCCAGCGGGTTGTGGCTGGTCACACGTCCTCTCTCCCTTTGGAAGCTGAGGCAGCTTTGTGTGGTGTGGAGTCATGGTCTCTTTGGGAAAGGCACAAGTCCCCTGCCCCATGGACAGGAAGGAGATGCCAAGTGTCTTCCTGTAGCTCTCTGCAGAACTGCTGACCCGTTATGCCACCTGATGGCTCCAAAGGCCCAACACCATGGGGATGTCTGATCCCCCTTGAAGAGCTGACCTGTGAAGGCCCTGATCTCTGCAGGGCCTGTGGACAGCAGGAAGCTCCAGGAAGGGACATTGATCTATGTGGATCCTTGGTGAGCTGCTCAGAACTGGTCAGCACCCATGAGCGAGGACAGGAGGAGTGGGGCCAGCGGGGGTGGGATGATGGGAGTGGTGTCAGAGGTGGTCTCCTCTGGCTCACTGTCTTCGTCATCCAGGCCTTCGGGAAGGGATGGGATGATTCTCACTGCATTGTCTTCAAAGTGTACCTGCTTCTTCTTGGCCAGGGAGTCAGCTGGCTCCAGTGTCAGCTCCAACAGGGCATCTGGGGGCTGAAGGGCGCTGGGCTTCTTTGTCCCCTTCAGAATGCTCTTCATATGGGTGAGGAGGGAGCTGGGCCCCTCCTTGAGGGCACCATGAAAGGTATATGTTTGTTCAGTGTCCCCAGAGCCAGTGGTACTCACGGCGCTGCTAGAGGGGTCTGTGTACTGCTCTGGAGGGGCCAGCACCTCGGGGGCAGCCTTGCTCTTCCTCCGCTTGCTTAGTAGGAAATAGGCCAGGCCAGTGATGATAAGCATGGATCCTGGAAGAGACCTGGGAGGTCAGGATGCTGGACATGTGTGTCATGGAGAAAAACCAGAGGCAATGCAAGCCTTTTCCTCCACAGGGCCATTGTAGCACAGGGCCACTGTGTTGCAGGGCTTAGGCCCCCTGTAGCTCCAGCCCCCACACACCCACTTCAGTCCTGACCCCTGACTGTTAACCAAGAAGCTGAGCCCCTCTTGGGTACCAAAGAAGGGCTCCATCTGGCTTTCAAGAACTTCCTTTGATCTCTATGCCCCAGACCTCTTTTTGTGGACAGTTAGCCCTGCTGTTGCCTGCCTAGCTCCTGTTGTTACTGCATTCAGTCTCCCTCTCAGGACAGTTTGATGAGACAAGACGTGAAATATCTTTGATGGAACTCTGTTTTGGATAGTGGTCCTCACCACTGAAATGGAGAGACTAGCTGCACTTGAGTCTCCCTAGCCCTCACATAGTAAACTCAGGAAAATGGCATCTTGTTCAGCTTCTTCCTATCTCCCTTGCCACAGAGCATGCTATCCTAGGTGAGAGACACCTCTGACTCAGCCTGGGACAATGCTAGGCACTGGTCTCTTGCCAGGAGCCCAGCCCAACCAGAGCAAGCCAAGAAGGTAGCCAAAGCCTCCTGAGTGTCCATCTCCCTCTCCAAGGAGCAAGGATGGGGCTTGTTGTGATCTCCTCAGGGCTGGATACTTCTCTGCCCCAGCCCCTAGAGGCAAGTGCTAAAGAAGAGGCAGGAAGGATGAGGGCCTGTGCCCTTCACCTTAGTCTCCCTGGGATTGGCTTCCATCCCTTGGGCCCTGAGAAGGAGCTCAGCGTCTATAGGTAGGAGGGAAGAGGATGATCCTAGCAGAGAAGGTCATCGGCAGAGGCAGAGAAGTGGGGTCAGAAACTGGGTTTCCCAGCAGGGGCCTGTGGAGTAGAAGATGAGGCTGTGAAGCTGCTGTGGGGTCCAGCAAAGGAATGCCTTCCAAACCAGGCTGGGGAGTTTATATTTGAATGGGAAGACACCAGAGAGATACGGAAGGATTTGGGCAGAGAAGTGACTATGTCATATCCTTGGAAAGCTCAGCACACTGAGCTCTCACTGTCAGTGAGAGGACAGTCCTGGGGCTTCTGCCTTCAGTCAGCATGGAGGATGTCTGACGGAAGGCTTCTCCATGCCAGGTCAGAGGGTGGTAGGGCTGGTGGGGGCTCTGAGAGAGAGGCACTCAACCCCACCTGCTCAGAGCCCACCTACTCAGGGCCTGCATGCCTTCATTACCTCCTGCATACCTACCTGGGATGGTCACATGCCAGACCAGGACAGGGTGGAGGAAACAGGCCACCGACAGCAACATGTAGGCCAGGAACTTCTGGAAGCAGCCCAGCCAGTGGGCCTTCTCCCTTGCTCTGTGGGCCAGGGACCCTGGCTGACACCTGGAGGAGGGAGTCCAGGGTGAGCAGAAAGTACCTCAGGGAAGCCCCAACTACAGGACCTTGACTGGCATGGTTCACGGGTGCCCCCTTGTGGTCATCTGTTGTGTGTGTTGGGTGAGTCTTGAGACTAAAATACTTCCAAGGTTCTTTCCTTCCCTGGCCTCCCTTCAGCCTACTGAAGTTTCAAGGATCCCCTGGAAAAGGTTAGATCAAAAAGAATTAACCTAGAAGGTAACACCCACGCCCAGGAAATCAATGTGAGTCAATGCCCTGTATAGCTATCCTTATCTCAACCAGCAAAACCCCTTGTTCCTTCCTATTATTGCTTATACTCTCTCTACAACAAAATTAGAAATAAGGGCAAAATAGTTTCTGCTGGGTATTGAGGGGGGGGAGCGGGAGGGGGCGGAGTGGGTGGTAAGGGAGGGGGCGGGGGCAGGGGGGAGAAATGTACCAAGCCTTGTATGCACATATGAATAATAAAAGAAAAATGAAAAAAAAAAAAAAAAGGATCCCCTGGTAGTAGAACTCAGTGGAAATGGTGACAGGCTGTGGAGCCTGGGAGGTAGCCAGTGGGCTTGCAAGGTGATGGGAAGCTAATTTTTAGGTCGGGCTGTCTTGTTGACTACCTGGGCACCTGCCTATCTGAGTTCAGGCCTACCTCCTTGGCCACACTGATGATAGCTGGCAGCAGTGGGGCCTCCATAGTCAGAGGCTCACACCCCTGACTTGTCCCTGTGTAGGGCAGGAGGTTGAGACAAGCTCTCACACACAACTGTGCTCACTCCAAGCTGAGCTTTCTGCTCACTCCTTGCTGGATGGCGTGGATACTGAGGTTCAGTGACTGCTGTCTCCGGGGAGAGGGGAAGCTGACTTTTGTCGGGGAATCTGGGCGAAGTGGCCTGAGTGAATGTGGCAGTTATTTCTCTTGGCTGAATTTAGGGCAAAAAGGGCAACTGAGTTTCATGGACCTGAGCCCATCTCTGGGCTAAGATTTCTTGGAGAGGAACCCTGGAGAGGAACTCATCCATGGTGGCTTCAGGAGCAGGGCATCCGTAGCTGTGGCAGTGGGTGGAGGCCAGGGTGGGGGGTGGTGGTTCAGGGGCCACTTCCTAAGGCTACTTACTTGAAGCAGATGTCCAGCAGCTGAGCCACAAAGTAGGCTCCTTCACATATGGAGACAGCAGCCCCTGTAAACCTGCAGGTGGAGACAGATGAGTAGCCAGCCTTTGGATTTCCCAGGACTTTCTGCTCATGTGACTTCCTGGTCATCTCCAGCAACAGACTGGCCTGTTTCCCAGAGACCACCCCCTCCAGGGGCTGCCTGGATGCCAGGGCTGTGCTGGAGAGGGTGGCCAGTTGCAGAGACAGATGAGGAGGCGTCACCATCAGCAGGCAAGATGGCCTGCACCCAGCACCTTGAGTGGTTGGTGGTGGGTGAAACCTTTATACACAATTGCCAGGACTGACACCACTGGCCCAGCCTGAAGCCAGACCATTGTAGACCCTTCCCTCTCCCTCTTTCCTGGTTTCCCATCACAAGAAGCCATCAACTGTGTCCCTTAAACACCCTCAGACTCACTTTAGTTCTCTATGGCCTCACTGGCAGTGCCTGGATTCAGGCTCTGCCCCCTGGCCTTCTGGACCCTCTGACCCCTGTCTGCTGTTCCTTCATTGTGACCACCAGGCTGTCCAGGGATCTGTGACACCTGAATCTAATATGTTCCTCCTGATCCAAAATATTCAGGCTCCACAGACCCTCCAGTAAGAATCTTCTGGGGGCATATGTAAAATTGTAGATTCCTAGAACCCCTCCCCATCCTATTTATACACCAGAATCTTTGGGAATGGAACTTAAATGTTTTTGGAGGGTCTCACTGGCTCATAGAATTGAAATTATTTAGCATACCCTTTAAAACTTTTTATAAACTTCCACATTCCCCTGAGTACTCGGGAAGCTATCAGGTGGGTGCCACAAGGCCTTTGTACAGCCAGCCCTTTTTAGAAAGCCTATTTCTTCCCTCCCTTGTCTTCCTGGTGACCTCTTCCTTCTCCACTTGTGACCAGAGTCACAAGTTTGTGAACTCTTAAAAGGAATTCTCTGTTAATTCTTCTGTATGGCTTGGCCCAACCTGGTCAGGACCTATGACTAGTAAATGCTCTGTGAGTGTGCATTGGAACGAATGAGCTAGACAGAGTAGGTGCTGTCATGCAGGGCAGACAGCTCACAGCCAAGTTCTCCTCAGGACCCCAGACGCTCCCGTTACTGATCAGTCATGGGACCCTAGATAAGAGGTTTGACCTTTCTGTGACTCAATTTCCTCACCTGTAAACTAAGGGTAATTATGGTGCTTCAAAAACAAAATTATTACAGTGAAATGAGTACGTAAAGCCCCAGAGCTGTGCTTGACACATGGTGACCATTATAGAAATGTTAGTTACCATTTTCTCTCTTTCCCTACGATCGTAGGAATTCCTTTCCTCTTTTTCCCGCCCCTTCTGGTCCTCCCCGTGTCTGCCTGATTCTTATCCCTTAGTTCAAAAATGATCATGACATTTACATGATTGCTATGTGACAAGCACAATTCTGAGCACTTACAAACACTAACTTGTTTGGTCCTTGCAACACTTTTGACCAGCGCTCTAATTGCTCTCATTTACAGATGAGGAAATTGAAACTCAGAGGTCAAGGCTGAGCTTAACATGGTCAAGTGGCTAATTAGAAGCAGAGGCTACTAACTAGAGATTTGAACCAGCACTCAAACTCCAGAGCCTGTGTGCCTAAGAAGCTCACTAAGGGGTGTGCTTTGCACAGCCATCTGCTGTGCCTTTCTCCCAGGCTGGGATGGGACCTAAGGGCTGAGGAATGACTTCCTGTACACTGCTAGTGAGAAGGACGGAGGGACAGGTGGGGCAATGGGTGTGGATCTGTGGGGATTAGAGAGTGGGGTGTGGGTGGAGAGCATAAAGTTGTTCAAGGTGAGGGAGAGGGAGACTCGGGCTGCATTGGACCAAAAGTGGCCAGCTGGGCTTCAGATCCCTTCAAGACAGGAAGAAACAAGGTCCAGGGCAGGAGTCATCTGCATTGCCTGTTGTGGACCAGATCAGTGAATTAGGCAGCTTTGGAAGGAAGGAAGGCTCAGCCCTGTTGCTGGGTCCCAGGGAAACAGTACCCCAAGGCTGGCAGCAGTGAGATGTGAGAGTGTACTTAGGTGCTCCACTAGATGGGTGACAGCTTGGATGCCAGACCATGTGGGGAGTCTGAGAAAAGTCAGAAATCCCGGGGGTGTAACTGAGTGGTGAGAAGTCAAGTGGCAGCAGAAGATGGCACAGGAGTGTGAAATAGAGGTGGTGGGAGCCACTGAGGTCACTAGGGAGATCTATGCCCAGACAGCAGTGTGTGCACGAGCTCAGAGAGGACTGTGGCTGGGAGGTGCCGAATGTGACTGCCAACCACAGCAGAGAATCTGCCCCGAGGAAGGGGGTGGGGATGTAGGGGTGGGTTGGAAATCTGCTCAGGACACAGGCCAGTCACTGGCGGGTGCAGGTTATGTGTATATATTGGGGAGCAGGGTGGAGGATGCAGACTGGAGAACTGACAGGCAACCTGAGGCAGTCTGGCCAATCTTCACCTTTCACATCTCAGCTCAGTAGCCCCTCAGCATAGGGGCTGGAAAGCCCAGGCTTCCTCTTCATCAGGAGGGACTACAGATGCCTGCAGGGACCCCAGGCTTTCCTCATCCCTGGGACACCAATATACAGTCACATCCTCCCTGCCAGGGGCAGCTGGTGGTGAAGAAGGGACATCAGTTGGAGAATGAAATAATGAGCAACCTGGGTCCTGTTGCTACTGAGCTAAGCTTGACTTCTTTGATGGTACCACTGAACTGTGCTCTGCATGCAGGGGAGTTCAAATATATGTTCCCTGTGTGAGTGTGAGAGAGAGAGAGAGAGAGTGTGTGTGTGTGTGTGTGTGTGTGTGTAAAACAAGGGTTTTGTTAATGCTTGCTGTATAAAGAAATGATTGAATGGATGCATGAAAGGATGGATAGTGTTAGGGGAACAGGTGAATGGGTGGGTGGGTGGGTAGTTGGAAGGGTGAATGGGTGGACAGGTGCATGAATGGATGGATGGTTGGGTGGGGGCATAGATGGATGGATAAGTAAGTGGGTAGATGAAAGGGTGGGTCAGTGGGCAGGTGGGTGAATGGATGGATGGATGGATGGTTGGATGGGGGATAGGTGAGTGAGCAGATGGATAAGTAAAGTGGATAGGTAGATGGATGGCTGCATGGATGGGTGGGTAGGTGTTTGAGTGAGTGTGTGGAAGGGTAATTGGTTGATTTAGGGGATGGTCTTCCCAACCAGTAGATCCCTCATCTCTTTCCACCTCTGCAATGGGATGGAGTCAGCATGAGAGGAAAGGGGGTTCTCTGCGTGAGTCTGACTAGAGAAAGGAAGGGTGGCATAGGTAGACATACTCACAGCAGGTAGAATGCAAGGCTTTTGAACTGTCCCCGGAGGAAGGTCTCTGTGCCCACGCCGATTAACACTAAGGGGACAAGAGAAAAGAGAACAATGGGCCTGGGTATCCCACTCCAGGGCAGTCCTCCACATGGCACCAGCAGCTGCAGCTGGGAAGGTACAGAAGAGCCAGAGACTCCTGGGTGGTCTCTGGTAAACCTCAGGCAGTGCCTCAGAGGTCTTTCTGTCTAGTGTTCCCAGAGCACAGAAGCTGCCCTTCTTGCCCATCAGTCATGCAGTCACCCCTTAGTGCCCCTCGAGACTGCTAGCATCAATGGGCCAGCTGCTGATCTGACCCACTGCTCTTCTCTGGGTGCTGTGGCTTTCAGTATCCTAAACATCTGGAGGCCCAGGCCAATGTGCACTGTGCGACTGGCTTTAGTTCCTGGCCATGGGAGGGCCCTGCCACACCATTCTTCTGCCTGGATCACTGTGTTTGCTGCTCATGTGGCCTCGTTTTTGCTTGCTGACTGCGGCTGTTTCGCAGATTCTGGGCTATTGCTTTGAACCCAGTGCTGATTAAGCCCCTGGGCTCCACTGTTCAGCCTGTTCGGCCTGGGTTATGCTGCCCAACCTGGGTTCCCCTTGGTGATTGGGCTGGTTCCTTGTCCTCTCCTCACAGGGATTCCTTGCTCCTAGGGCTCCCCCAAACAGCACTCTTCTGACTCTGTCCAGCCCCCCAGTGGGGGCATTCTGTGGGGAATGCATGGATCCAGGTCCAGATCTCTTTCGTTCTCTAATTGATTCCACTGCCCGCACCCTGCACTTTTCTCTCTGGGCCCTTTCCAGTGTGGCTTCACCCTGCCTTCCTCCCAGACAGCCAGAGATGAAGGCTGTCTGTTGACTGCTTCTGTGGGGTCCTTCACCCCTGCTGCTTCTTCCTTTCCTTACAGATAGACATGTGAACTTCCATCCACAGTGTCCCAAGCTGAAGGGAGCCTTTGGTCTCCTGCTGAGATGCTGCCTCCGGGAAATCAGGGAGGAGTCCCTGGCTGAGGCCATCAGCACTCTGGGTGACTGTGCCAGTTAGAGGACTGAGAGTTGGAGGTGCAAATGTTTTCTGAGTGCTAGACCGAGGGTTTGGCTCTGTCTGTACGCCAGGAGCAGAGTGTCGGTGGACACTGGGCCTCCTGCTGCCTAGGTTCCAGCTGTCCTACTGGTGAATGCCGGGCAAAGCTGGTGATGAGGCAGGCTAACTTAGGAAAAGTTTGGGACGCATAGAAAAAACATTACATTTTAGATTAACCATGCTTTGGCTCAGGAACCACCCATGCCCCTCCCCACTCATTGATTAGTTGGTGGGAATTTCCTTGTTCTTTCTTTCCCATAGGTTACCGTCGGTTTTAAAAGCCCCTGAAGAGCAGAAACAGGCTCTTGGCTTCTGGGTTTTACCTGGGTCCCACCATGCTCCCCTTTGTATTTTCCTTTCCTAACTTTTAATAAATTCCATTTATACCTGTGTGTCCTGTGGTGGATTCTTTCTCGCTGGACACAAAGAATGTGGAAGTCTTCCGATCACAGACTGAACCAGCGCTATTAACAGTGGTGCTGACGAGCCACAGTCCCTGTGGTGCCAGCCTAACTGAAGACCATTTCAGAGTCTGGCTCCTTATGGCAGCCCCAAGGCACAGGGAAACCGATTTTTCCCATTTTACGGAGCAGGAAGGTGAGGCTCAGTAACCTTGTGTAGCTCACCCAAGAACACATACTATGAAGCAAGACCTAAGCCTTCTGGCTCCAGGTAGTGGGCCAGAAGTAGGCCTGGTATCTCCTGTCTACCAGGAGATGGGAGTCTGTGTATGTGAGTGCACGTGTGCCCGTGTGCATGTGTGCGTGCAAGAGAAGGTATATGTGAGTGTGCATGTGTGTGAGTATATGCAAGTGAGTGTGTGTTTTGTGTAGGCAAAGCCACTTACTTAGTGTCCACCATGTATCTGTCCTATTCTCAGCACTTAGCATTTTTAACTTATTAAATCATTGCAACAGGCCTATAAGAAGGTCCTATTCTTACCCCCACTTTACACTACAGGAAACTGAGGCTCAGATTGTTAGCAACACCACTCAATCAACTAACCAAGCAACCATGCATGTCTACATCAGATTCCGTGTTTAATATCACATCAGTTAGTTAGAAGCTGGTAGCTCCATCTCTCTGAGCCTTAGTTTCCCCATTCAACCTCCTACACACAAAAGCTGTGAAGATTCAGTGACTAATTGATGCCAGGCCCATCACAGATTCTCAGTGGAACCATCTGTCACTCTTTGGTTCAAAGGGAGGGACAGAATACACACAATGAGGTCTTCCCACCTCATTGGCCTGGGGAAGGGCCCTTTGACTCAGGGCTGGTGATTATGGCTGTGCACTTTGGAGCTGGTTGGGGGCTCCACTCACAGTGGTGGCCTCTGCAGATTTGCCTGGGCTGGTGGCAGATGGCAGAAAGGGTCTTGGGAACTCAATTCCTCATGATTTGTCGGCAGATGCCTTTTGCTTTGTCCACTGTAGACTGAAATGGAGGGTCAACAGCAGAGGGGCACTAAGGAATGCTCTAGGGGCAATGCTGGTCTTCACTAAAACAATCTAAATGACAGTGACAGAGAAATAGAGCTGGACTTGGGTCCCAGTTCTGTGGGTTGTCACCTGGGTAACATTTGATAAGTTCTTAACACATTTGAGTTGGGTTTTCTTATCTCTTAGAATGGGCAGAATTATAAGTCACAGAGATTCCTCAGATTGGAGAAAATAAGCATCTGTGCCTACTGTGAGGAGAAGGTGTTCCACCTTCTCCCCAAACTCAGGTCCTGGCAGCTTCCTAGCCTCTAGCTAGTCGATTTTGCCCCAGTGGGGCAGGATAGCTCTCCCCAAAGCTTTCTCCCAACCACTGCTGTGCTGGTGTCCACCTGTGCTGGGATACATAGCACCCTTTGGCTGGAGGAGGAGGACAGTATATGTAGGGAAGCCAGGAGTCTGGGTCCTTAGCCTAGGTGAGGATTAAGAGCATCCAGGGGAATTCTTATGGGAGTCTGGAAAGTCTTTTGACACTCAGGCCAAGGGGTTTCCTGCTTTCTGCTGATCCTCTCAGTTCTGAGGTTATTTTTCAGGCAGACCATGTGAGGCTGAGACAACACTGGTCAGCAGGAAGCCCTTCCTCTGCCCCCCCCCACCCCCGCTCCTTCACTGTTTGTCTGCTTGAGGCCTTGATCTTCAGGCTGCTTCTATCCATGCTCATTGGAGTCCCCCTGACAGCCCTTCCTTCCTTCTTGGTCCTGTAGCATCTCCAATCAGGCATCAGGCTCACCCTTGAGGTGTGCTGTGTCCAGCAGGAGAGGTGAGATGTGGACAGAGAGAAGTATATACAGGGAGAAGAGCAAGTCGGGCTATGAGACAATCTCACCTGATGCGCTGGGTCAGACAGGATGGGCCACTCCTGAGGAGTATCAGGAAGGAATTTATAGAGGAGATTAAACTAGAGTAGACAAGGAAGGAAGGCAAGAAGTGGACATGTGCAAATGGTAGGAGTCAGGCATTCCAAGAAGAGACTCTACAGCAGGTTGTTCTATTTGGAACAGGGGTACAAATGGAGCAATGAGCAGTGCATGTGTGTGGGGGGAGGTCCCAAGATTGCGGGTCCTCAAATACCAGCCTCCACAGGGTGGAAAGAGGGAATACTTGTGCGTTTGGAAGCAGCAGAGGGATGTGTTCAGACTGGTATTTCAGAAGGCTCCCTGCTTCAGGCAGATGGGGTAAGAGATTTAGGTGATATTTGGAGGTAGCTAAGGGATAGAGTCCAGCTCTAGGTTCTCCTGGCCTCCCCTCTCCCAGCACAATGGTATGTTAGTTCCTTTGTTGGCCTTGCCTTGAGGCAAAGTTCTGGTTGTGGTTCCTGCTGGCATGGCCTGGTTGCCCTGTTCAGCTGTCTTCCCAGTAGGGTGTTTGGCACCAGAGCAGGAAGAGGGGTAGGGTAGTTCTTTCATGTCCCCGACGGAAGTCTTTCTAGGCACAAAGAAGCAGGCATACACTATCGCCACATGTTGCTTTTTTGGGTTTTTCTGGGCAGTGGGGGCAGAGGTGTGGACAATCACAGGCAGTCAGACAGTGTTTGGGTTTGGAAGCTCCCTGGCTATACCAGCTCAGCTGCCTCCCAGCAAAGTGCCACTCTGTGTCACAATGATAGTAGGCCCTCCATGTCTACCTTGTTTAATCTGCACATCGGAGGTATGAACAGGTCATGCTGTTATTTGTGGAAAAATCCAAAAGAATGTCCTGGGGTGAAACATCTTGTCCAAGGCCTAGAGCAGTGCAGGGCATAGAGAAGCCGGTCTAGGTGTCATTGCCATGGGTCCTCCCACCCTGGCAGGGATCAGGGAGGGACCGAGATGAGGATGGTGCAGGATGGAGGGACCTTTCCTTGGTGCCTTTTGAGCACAAGAGGGGACACAGGAGAGATGAGATCCAAGTTGTTACTAGCAATGGACCATTGAGTTCTTCCCAAGCTGATAGAATGTGTACATCAGCATGAGGCAGGAAACTAACCGCTCTGACCCTTCTGTGACCAATACCTGCCATCCATATTGTGGGTCAGTGTGGTGACCACCTAACTCACCCCTCACTTTGGGTATCTAGCAAGGACCCTCATCTTGGGCAGAGTTCTTCTGAGTGTCAGAGGGCCACGGCCTGAATTGCCCTGTCAGGGACGTGTATCCCAGCAACTCTGGAGTTGTGTGGTCGGGATCCAAAGTCCCCAGCGATCACATCCATTCCTTTGTGCCAGGTGTGGGCAAAAGCACAAAGGTGCAAGGAAATGACTGTCAGAGCCTGGGAAGACAGTCCAGACTCCATAAATGCAAAGATGTCAAGGGAGGAAAATAAGACCCAGTACTCTGGGGACAGGACAAGGGTGGGCTCTATTTGCCCGCAACCCAGGAAGGCTCTGAGCAGGAGGACAAGGTGTTGGTGAGAGGAAGAAGCATCTTGACCATGAGTCCAGAATCCTAAGTGTCCAGGCCTGGTCTTTGGGTGCTCCTCTGTGC